TGCAATGAAACAACAAGCATGCAAAAAGGTTGTTGGGCGTGCATTTGGAGTACTCCAAAATTGATTTGCTATTGTGGCTAATCTTGCCTGATTTTAGAGTAAATGACTTACAAGATATAATGATTGCATGTATTATTTTATATAATATGATAATTGAAGATGAACTAGATCTTGATGCAACTATCGAAGCTGCTATGGAGGCCCCTATCTCAAATGTTGAAAAGGTGGGTAATGATCTCCAATCCAAGCATTTGTTACTCGATACAAGCAAATTCGAGATAAAGAAGCTCATATCGCCCTTCGTATTGCATTGATTGATCATTTATGGGACAATTTTCTAATTTAAAAAATTAGATGTAATGTTATTGTAATTGTTTCTTCTAATGGTTTTTTCTTTTCATATTTGTATGTAATTTGTATTCCTATTGTTTGAACTTATGAAGCAGCCTCGTGTTGTTGTACATAAACATATTTTTATATTTGGGTAACAAAATTATATAAGATTAAATATATATATATATATATATATATTACAATATATTTTAAATAAAAATGAATAAAAATATAATGTCTAATGTAAACTAAAATAAATCACGAAGGACTGGAGATAAAATATGAATTTTGTACTCTAGAGTAGATAGAACAACTTAGTGTTGCTCTACATTATATTTTTACTTTATAGTAGTGCAAAAAATTTGTTCCAAGATTGTGCTATATTTTCGCACTACTCTGAAGATGTAAACAGTATTGAGCTACATGTAGCGCGGTACTATTCACCGTTACATTTTTTTAGATTTTATTTTTTAATTAATTTCTATTTCTAAATATTATTTGGACAAAATATAAATTAATAAAATTACTTATTTTGTTAAATAATTTATTTTTAAATTTTATATTTGTATTTAAATTTTATTTTGTACTAATATATTTTATGTAGAATAAAATGTAGCACGAAAAATTAGAGACAGAAATTATGCCATCTCCAGCCCTTATCTCTACTCTAGAGTAGAGTTGAATATTCATCTCCAGCCCTTATCTCTACATTTTGCTCGTATAATGAGCTTTTTTTAAAATTAGTATTTTGAACTAAAAAAACAAATCAAATAAGCTTTTCAACAAACAATCTAATGAGCATATTTGACAGGTCAAACCTCTAAATGAGATTCAATCCGCTCATTATACACTATATGCTAATTATATACCAATATGCTAACATCAAAGTAGGGACCTTTATGCAACTCTTTCTAACAAGATAGAATGGTGGCATTTCAATGGAGGTTAAGGCGGCTCCATTGCACATTGCACACAAGTTTTTCTTTCCATTTGAATATGTTGAAAAACAAAATCTGCGGATTTTCTCAAATAGTTGCCCTGCTTTAACACAAGCCATAACAAGGATAACACAACAGAATACTAATCAAGTGAGAGCTGATCAGGCCACACCTTTAATGCCATCGACAAGTCTTTTTGCAAGCACAAATACCGTTTACTCCACCAGATTCCCATTTCTAACCCTAGCATCTTAACAGAATACACAACACATGAATAGAAAGGCATTAACAAGTGAAACCGGCCTTCGCACGTAGTCGTAAAAGCTTATTACAGCTCATCTACCGGCTACAGACAAACCTAAAACTCAAACGAGATGGTAAAGAAGCGCAAATTTTTTAACTAGTTTCTAGAAGATTCATCTTCCGGCACCCAACCCCATCGACTTCGGACGCCTAACGGCAGACAAAGGATTCACCATGCCTTGAGAATCCTTACCCAGGCCCGTACCCTCCACAAAGCCCATTTTCGCCATCATCCTCGACCCAAATCCCTTGGTATGCTTCTCAAACAAACCGAAATTATTTTTCTCATCTTTTGTCTCTTTAGCATTTGTTGCAGAAGCCTTGGGCCCCTTCCTTCCTGCGGGCTTGGGCTGAGATTTCACATTCCCAGATTTATCGCTAGTTTCAGGAGCCTCAGCTCCCAGCCCAAGCGATTTGGGCCTCTGGGCCACTTCAATGGGCTTCGCCATGCCCTGCCCATCCTTACCTAGTCCGCTGCCTTCAACATATCCCATCTTAGCCAGCATTTTCGAGCCGAAACCGGTTGTGTGCATCTCAAATGCACCGTATTGTACTGTGCAAGTTTCGGGTTTGCTGTCGTTACCATCGGAGGGCGATTTCGTCTCATTCGGTGGCTCGTTTATTTTAAGCTCCATTATTTCGGTGTTCAGAATACCACTCGAGACAAAGGACAATGGCTGGGCAGCGTACGAGCTGACTTTTCCGGAAGTTTTCCGTTTTGATGAACCATTTGATTTTTTCCGGGAAGACTGTGGGCCCACTTGGGTGGAAGGCTTGTTTAAGGCGTGCATGTTGTTCCCTTTTAAGGGCTTTCCACCCGTAACCGAGAAATCTGCATTTTCATCGTCTGCAGTTCCTATCATCTGAAATTCAGGAAAAAAAAAAGGTTACATTTTTGCTAGTGCAAGAGATAAATGCACAAGCACAGGTTTAGGGAGTTTTGGAGGAAAGCTTGGGCATACAACCTTTACCAGGCGTATTTTATCAGATGAGGACGGCATAGAAGTGTGCGGTGTTCGGATGACTGTGACAAATCTGCATAATAATATGCAAAGTACACATTTATAAAAAAATCCAAAAATTTGGGACCCTCAACTCAGGATTACATGGTAAAATCTTAACAAAAGGCTGCCAGGAATAAGGAGTTGACAAGAACCAGGAATCACTTCTGGGCAAAATTCCACAGCCAAAACATTTTGTTGTGTTTAATTGTCACTTGTGTATGGTTTGTCTAAGTCTTGAAGAAACTCAGCATTTCAAATGCAAAATGCGAATTTGTAAGAAGCATGTTTCCTTAGGAACTAGAATTAACTACGAAACTGAGCCCCATAATAGTAACATCTCAAAAGAAATGCATAGATGGAATGATAATTCCAACTAAGAACACATAACATGAATAGATGGACTTATTCATTAACCTCACTGGCCAACTTTTCATAAACTCGATTAGTCCGTCATAGAACAATGTTACCAATGGTGAATGGCGAGTTACGGCAGTGAGCCATGGATGGCATAGCTGCAAATGGCGGAACCGGAAAGAATACTTTATATATATTTATGTACCTCAAAATATATATTATATATGCATGTATTATAAAACCATAAAAGCTTAAAACATGCCAATAAATACATAAGAAATACATTAATTTCACAAAAATAGCTGACTATTACAAAAAATAAATGAAGAGCTGAGAAAAATAAAACACGACCAAAAAGAAAGATTTTTCGAAACATTAACAGAAGGGCGGAAAATTAAAACAAATAAACAAGGAGATGAAAAATAAACGGCAGCCAAAATTTGTGCTGGAAAATAGAAAGAGCAAAGGGTAATTGAATAGAAAAGGATCGAGGAAAAATAAATAAAAAATGAGCAAACAGGGAAAAGGATTTAAAAACAGAAGAAAATGAGAAATAATAACGACTACAGGTTCGGTAGCCAGAGGGTGGGTCAACTTTCTTAAGGTTCTTCTCTCCACTTTCAGCAATTATTATTTTTTTCACAAGGCACAGGTTAGGGCTCAATTCCATTTCTCTTTTCTGTTATTTTATTTGGCGAAATTGGGCTGTCCCAGTGACTGTTTTCTTTCTTTCTCTTTTTTTCAGCATTTTCCGCCAGCCATGGCAGTGCCAAGAGGCCAACACAAGGCGACCATAACTGAAAATTGTCACACCATACTGCCAAGGGGTCGTGTCATGGTCATCATTCAACAACATGACATCAGAAGGCAAATAAGAACATAAGACAGTTTACCTCTTCTTGCCAGATCCTTGGCACCCACTTTGCAAACGATAAATAGCAGCTAATCTCCTTACCTGACAAACCAAAACCAAAAATGCACATAGGATCTAAGTGCAATTGTCAATTTCATGTAGATTATAATTCTGAAAATATAAAACAATAGAAACTGGAATTTCATATATTTATTAATTTATTTAAAGCACCTATACTATCTTCCCTTAGTTCCTCCCTGTTCAAAGCTTTAAAAAATTAGCTTAGTGAAAAGCTTGATTTTTTATGCACAATATTAGATCACCACTTGATGCCCATTACCATAGTAAAGTTGAAAAAATGCAGCAAATCAATCGAATTTANAAAAAACTAACTACAAAAGGTAGAAGCACAAAGTACAAGTTCAGGAAACGACATCATGTTGCATGAAGCCTTAGTAAAGTAATGAAATATACTTTGGCTACTAGCTTTAGAACATAAATTACCTGAGAACAATCCCGTGGAAGCATGGGTGGGAAAGACTGCATGTCCGTGCCATCAAGAACTAGCTGCTCCAATTTCTACAAAACGATTTCAGTCATTTTTAACATTTCTTTCAAAGTGACATCGATCTAAAAAAGCAAAAAGTTATAAACTTTATTCCACCAAGGGAAAAATCATGTGAAAAGCTGAATTCTCAATTGGTCAGATACTCATTAAACTTTAAAGTCAGATTTTAGTAGGCACTAATACAACAGGGACCAATAATCGCCAACGACCCAATGAACATAAAAAATTGAAATAGGACAGAATGTTCTTTATATATTTATCTTATTTATGTTGGTTTTATGTGTGTCTTACCGTATTTATTTTCTGAAGATCTACACCACGCAGGCGCATTCTATCCAGCCGCTTTGCAGCAATCATTTCTTTATGATGTCTCTTTTTCTCCCCTGAATTCATAAATTAAAAAATGATTTCAATCGTGGTCAAACAGAAAAAAGAATCAACGTTTTACTGATTATTATAAGAAGAAGGGGATTAAACAAAAAAAAAAGCAGGAAAAAAAAAATTATGAACCCAAAGACATAATGAGACTCTTTAAATCCAAATATACTTCAACGGCCCGGAATTGTGATTACAATTGATTCTACTCGCTAAAATTCAATCACTACATAAGACAATGAGAAAAGAAAATATAAACAAAAAAAATAAAAAATCTATTTATATTCTAATGGACCACCTTAATGCAAAGAGAAAGAGCATGCAATCCTTTCTATCCAAACTGACATCAACTTTACCTGGTATTCTCCTCTTCTTCTTGTTCCTGCGAGCTTCCCCCGGCCAAGACTGTGGAATTCTAGCAACATGTTTTTTCCTTCTAGAAAAAGTTCTTGGATCCTTAACAAACATCAGGTCATCTACAGCAGACGGGCTTGCATACTTAACAGGCGTTGACTTTTTATCTTCTCTGTAATACTTTCTCCCCAACTTGGGCATCATCCCATACTGCCTTGAAGCCTCCTGAAGATAAATCCCACCCAACTTGTTGACAGTTTCGTCCAAACTGCCTTCATCATCATCATCATCATCATCAGACACGCCAGAAACCTGTCTTATAAGCCGATTGACATTAATGGTGTCCACATTCCCTCCAATACCCTCAAAGTAATCCTCAGCAACCTCATCATCAACGTCTGAACCACTGTCTGACAAACTATCACTCTCGGATGTTTCGGAGCAGTTGTTTGAGTCTGAGGAGCTCGAGCTTTCATCATCACTTACATCTTCATCTTCATCTTCATCTTCATCCCCGTCACTGGTATCCTGAGTGTATATTTTAGAGCCACCGATTACCACATAACCTTGATTTTCCTCCATAAAAGACATGTCATTCATTGGGTCGTCAACATCTACAGCGCCTTCTTCCTCGGAAGAAGAAATGTCGGCATAATCACTCTCTTTCTGTTGCCTGTTGGACGAGGACCCAATGCCGTGTGGAGGAGTTTGCATTTCATCATGGAACCCTAAACCTCTGTGTGGACTTTCGTCCAGTGCAAAGCTTGTGGTGTACTCGTACGTGTATTCCATGTTTTGGGGCTCGTTGACAGGTCCCTCATCTAAATAGACAACAATCGGGCTCTTCCCTGAGTCGACCAGAACTATGGGATTTGATGCACTGAAATCATTTTCCTGGTTTTCAGCTCCATCAGAGAAATTTTCCTGGATATACCAATGACCGTCAAGCCAAAATTTTGGCAGTTCTGAATTTAGTAAACAGAAGATAGCCAGTTATAACTATGTTTCAGAATAGACATCAAACATGAATTCACACTTTCTTGAAGAACACTTTTGACACCTAGTGAAGTGAAAAAGGTGAAACCTTTTAATTGAAAGATTTTCCTGGATACATGAAAGTCCGTCAAGACAAAAATTTGGCTGTTTCCACTTAAACAGGAATAGCCGGTTTTACAAACCTACATCAAACATGAATTCACATTTTCCTCACGAACAAATTCTTGGCTTATAGTGAAGTGAAAAGGGTGAAAGCTTTGAATTGAGTAATAGACGGTCCAGTTTCCCATTCACTATATATTTCTAAATTAAATGAAGTGCAATACAAGAATTTCTATATCCATATTATGACCAAATTGTCCATTCCAAGTTAACCAAAATATGAATACTAACTTACAAATTTGCTGCAGCTATCAACTCATTTTATCATTAAAAAATCAATTTTTTCAAGCCCAAACAAAACCATCTTGAGCAACTGTTCCATGATCAAAATCATCCAGTATATAATCTTCGAGCAATTACATACCTGAGGATACATATACCCAATTGCATTCCCTCTCATCCCCTGGGCCTCTCTTCCACGATACGAACCCGACCCGGTTCTTGAATCATAGAGGCCGCCCGATCCAGCAGATCTCGAATTCCCATTTACCCCATTATTTCTTTTCCTCCCTAAACAACAGAATCATTCAATCAAACGAATCCCGTAAACATTTTTCACTCTTTCAAACAACCCCACACAATTATAATCACAAAGAGAGATAGAAACAGAGAGATTATAATCACAAAGAGAGATAGAAACAGAGACCTCTTGAAGGAGGAGAGCTGAAGGCAGACAAATCAGACAAGAATCCACCCTCTACGAAGAGACCGCGACCCGCGGAGGAGGAAGAAGAAGCAAAGGGCCGTGGCCTTGAGCCCCTGCTGCTCGATTTATTCGCTTTTTTTCTGCTTTTACCACCCATTGATGAACGATTTCCCCTGCGTGGATAAAGATTTTTGTTAATAGAAAACACGCGTGTGTATATTTTTGTTTATATGTATGCGGCGCGTGGCTCAGGGTGTGAACAAGGAGGAGTGGCGACGAAGAAAAATCTCGAGTTTTGGGGTGCAAGGAAGGAAGGAGGGGGCAGCAGGGTTGAGTGCAGGTTACGGAGTTGTACAATTGGGATGCGAGGGGTATTGAATAGGTATTCTATTCAATGTACAACTTCGCGATGCGTTCTGTGGGAGAATCTTCCGAAAAGATACCTCCATCGTGCCATAAATATACGGGAGTATCATTTCGGTTTATTTGTATGAATCATGTATAATTAGGATTAGAGATTTTTTTAACGAAATGTTAAATATTATATAATTATATAACTCAAAAAAAAAAAAAAAAAAAACTCATACTGGACATATATTACCAATGAATTTACATAAGTTGATATAGCACATAGTGTAGTCTGGGTAAACCAGCTACATTTAGCTCGAGTAGTTGATTCCAAAGTAACTCGGGTTATGGGTCTCAGCTAGTTCAGATGAACGAGTCCTAAGTAGCTCGGACAACATAATGTGTAAGTAACTCAGACAGCATAATATGATAGCAACTTGGACAACTTAGTATGAAAGTAGCTCGGACATATAGCAACTAAGGTAGAGTGATGTCAGTATCTCAATAGATCGAACAATGTAACAACTAGGACAGATTGGAAGAGTGGGCAGAGCTACGTTCAATAGGTCGGGAACTTATGTGATGTAGGCAAACCTATGCAAACCTAACTCAGAGGAGGACTTGTAGAAGCTAAGAGAGTAAGAAGACATATGGAAGAAGGATAAGAGAACCTATTGATATGGGACACGTGTAGGGATATCTTTCAGTGAAATGACAGAATCCATAAAAATTATCCAAGAAAGATCTAAATAATCCCACGGATAAAAATGGGTCTTAGGCAGATCTAGGGGTAGCCAAATAACCGTAGAGCAGGTCCCCAGGCAGTCCGGGCAGTCGGGCAGGCCTTCGGGCAGCCAGGTAAAGCAAAGCTTGTTCAAGAAGCCAATGATTTAATATAAATAGAGAAGATGTATGAAAAGCAAAGGTTAATGACACTATCGACACTCTAAGCTTTACAATACCATTACTTACACTTTACATACAACTTTTCATAGCCTTTTACTGACTTGATCATCAGAAGTTTTACGCGGGGAAGACCTCTCGGTGTATTTTGTAGGTCTCAGGGAGAAAATCGGTTGAAGGACCAACAGAAGACCGATTCGAGGTGCAACAGCACATCAATTGACGCAGTCTGCGGGACCAACCTTTTCTCTACCTTTTTTAGAGGAACCTAAGATAGAGAAGACGACTATGGCAGACGAGAACTGAAAGAAGTACCTTGATGAGAGTTTAAAAGAGGTGTGGGTGGCTAAACACCTTTTGGGGATGGGCTACTGTTGGCATGGTCTAGCGGGGGAGGAGCGTTGGTCACCCATAGGATCATTTTGCTGGGGGTGAATCAGGTTTTGACAGTGGAGGTAGATCGGGTGAACTAGTAAGGTTGGTATAGGAGTCTTTGTGACATGAAGTAGTAGGGTTGATTCTCGTTGTAAAATTGCGATGATTACTAAGTGAAAAATGCCACATTAGTTCCACTTAATTTTAACTTTGTTGGAGTTATATGATTTTGTACTTGATCGTTATCATCTGCCTATATTATTTAATGTTCGTAGTTATAAGTATTACCTGGAAATATCTGTTTGATTTATTTTATTTCTTAGGCATACTTGCATGATTTTCTATGGGGTTTAAATAAAAAGAATCCGTGCAAAATTTTTTTGGGTGCAGTATCGTGACTAATTTTATGACCTATTGATTTTATCTCCTTATTTAATGATGTTGCATATTTTGATTGTGATGTGTGTTTATGTGTGGATGTTTTTCCTTGGTAAGTGAACATGTGTGTGAAACCACCCACTACCAATGTTATTGACGTTGGAACCATCATTTTCCTTTTGTTCTTCACCCAACTTGAACCATATCATTTTTTCCCATACTATTTATCCATTGTCTTCTTTGCAACCAGAATACCCTTGTTCTCTACTTTTCCATTAAATATCACATCGACCATTGGGTTTATATGTACCTACATCACTCATTGTTCGCCAGAAGCCAAGTTTAGGGCATCCGCATTGGTTCATTAAATCCATCCATTTAAATGCATAGTTAATGTTCAACCGATGGGAGTCCATTCATTTGATGGTGAAAATTAGCTGGCCCACCACTGCCGTTCAGCACATTGAACGGCTATTTGCAACATTTTTTATTCTTTTTTTTTTGTTTTTCTCTCTTCAACAGCTATTTCCAAACTTTTTTTGTATTTTTTTTTCCTTTTTCTTTTTTTCTTTTGCAACGGCTCTATCCAAATCTTTTTTATTCTTTTTTGTTTACTTTTGATTAAATTGTTTTTGTATCCGTTTAGTCTTTTTTACATTCTATCCGTTGAGTTTTTTTTTTTTTTATATATATATACTTTCTATCATCATTTTTGCCTATAAATATATCTCATTGTTACATTTCTTCTACACCACAAATTTAGCAACTTTCATTTCTGAAAAGAAAAAATGGATTCCAATAATAGGCAAAACTTTCAAAATTTCTCAAATTATACTAACAATCCTGATGAATTTCCATTATTCCAAAATTCACAAACTCCGCCAAATTTATCATTTTCACAAGCTCCTTATCCAGCACAATTTTTTCCACAATTCCCATCAAATTTTCCTTTTTATGCAACAATCCCAAAATTACCCAATGTCTGGCAATATTCAATACTCACAATATCCTCCACAAGCTTTATTTCAAAATCCACCACCTGAATATTGGCAGTACATAAGTAGTCAAAATCTGGTGCAATCTTCTCCGCAACAATCGAGTCAATCTTCCGGATCTCAAATGAGGAAAGAACCCAATACTCAAACTTACGTTCCGGAAACACAATTGCAGGATTGTGAAGCAGCTATAAATGTTGAAATGCCAAGAAACACACGTGTTGCTGCTGAGGGCCGGAAAAAACGTCCACAATGGACAAAGGAAGAGGACGTGCTATTGGCAAAAGCTTATGTGACAATAAGTGACGACCCTATTACCGGTAATGATCAGAAGGCCGAAGCGTTTTGAGTACGTGTTACAAAATATTATAATGAAAATACACCTTCTGATTATATTTCTAGAGATTTAAATATGATAAGATCTCACTGGCATAATACAATTCAAAAAAAGGTGTATCGGTTCAATGAGTGCTATAACAGTATTTACGGTGTGTATCGAAGTGGTTGTAGTGATGAGGATATATTAAGTCGGGCTTACGAAAAATATCGTAGTGAGAATAATGGTGTAGCCTTCAATCTTGAGCATGTGTGGAGAATCCTAAAAGATCGTCCTATGTTCACTCCACAATCTTCTAATGATATTTTTGTTGAGAGAAAAAAAACGAGAATTGATGAGTCCGGTGCCAGCAACACTTCATCAAAAGGGGATGCGAGCATTGATCTAGATGAACTTCATGAAGTGGCTCGCCCAATCGGACAGAAGGCAGCCAAACGAAAGGCCAAGGGCAAAGGAAAATCCAACCTTGATGAGATGTCTGCAGAATATAACAACATGGTTAAGCACCTTGCTGAGTTAACAAGCTTGAAAAAGACTGAAGTTGAAGTTAAAAAAGCAACACCTGAGGAAAAGAAGCAGAGAAATCGTCGAAAAGACTATGATATTTTAATGAGGGACAGAAGTCACATGACCCAAGAGCAACGTATTACTCATGAGAAAATCTGCCAAGTAATTCGAGAGAAATGGAACTTTTAGACTTTCATTTTCTATTTTAATTATCCTTGTAATTCTGTACGTTGTAATTTGCAAATTTGAATTTTCATCTTATATTTCATTTAAGTTTTGCAAAATTAAAACTATGTAAACTCATCATATTTCATTTAAAGCAAACTCACAATATTAAAGCAAACTGATATATTTCCTAGTCAAAAGAAGGAAGCTTCCTCACAATTTCCTAGTCAAAGGAAGGGAGCTTCCTTACAACTTCTTGGTCAAAGAAAGGAAACTTCCTCGTAAGTTCCTAGTCAAAGGAAGAGAACTTCCTCGTAAGTTCCTGGTCAAATGAAGGGAGCTTCCTCGCAACTTCATCAAAAGAAGCATTTGTTTGGTTATAAATACCTCATTTTGTATCCCATTTTGTATCCCATTCCAAGTGAAAGAAAAAGAAGAATCCTCACAAAATGTCTCAAAATTCATATAGATCCGAGTCTAATTCATCATCATCCACTGATAGTGAAGATGGTGAAAACACTAACGATTTAGAAGTTGAAATGATTTCATCAATCGTTCAACGAAGCCACGAGTTACTTCAAGCATACCAACATGAAATTGAAGTTCGCAGAAGAAGAAGGTTCATCCAGAGAAATCGAGAAGATGGACATAACAGACTTGTAAGTGATTATTTCTCTGATCATCCTGTCTACCCGGATCATATATTTCGTAGGCGTTTCCGTATGCGAAGAGAATTATTCCTTCGTATTGTGAATGCACTTCAGACACAATCATCATATTTCCAGCAAAACTTTGATGCATCAGGAAGACAAAGTTTGTCACCACTTCAAAAATGCACAGCAGCCATTCGTCAGTTGGCTTATGGAGTCCCAGCTGACCACCTTGATGAGTATTTACGTATGGGTGAGTCAACTGCTATAAAATGTCTTTTTAAATTTTGTGAAAGTGTGGTTCAAATTTTCGGTGATGAATATTTGAGAAGACCGAACAGTAGCGATGTTCAAAGACTCCTCCAAATGCATGAAGAAAATCATGGTTTTTCGGGTATGCTTGGAAGCCTTGATTGTATGCATTGGGAATGGAAAAATTGTCCAGTTGCTTGGAAAGGCCAATTTACAAGAGGGCATGGGTCTCCTACGATTGTCCTTGAAGCGGTTGCTTCACATGATTTGTGGATATGGCATGCCTTTTTTAGTGTTGCAGGATCACGTAATGATATCAATGTATTGTATGAATTTCCTCTATTTAATAATGTGGTTCAAGGAAATGCACCAAACATTCATTTTACTGTCAACGGCACGCAATATACAAATGGGTATTATCTTACAGATGGAATATATCCAGAATGGGCTACGTTCGTAAAGTCTTTTCCTTGCCCGTCAGATCCTAAAAGAAGTTATTTAAAGAAAAACAAGAAGCTGCTCGAAAGGATGTGGAAAGAGCATTTGGGGTGCTTCAGTCTCGATGGGCAATTGTAAGAGGTCCTGCTCGATTTTGGTATAGAAGAAAACTAAAATTTGTTATGTTGACATGCATTATTTTACACAATATGATTGTTGAAAATGAAGGAGTTGTAGTAACAAATTGGCACAATGACGAGGATGAAGAGCCCGCACAACCTGTCCAGGGTTCAAATCGAGAATTTCAAAATTATATCCGTAGAAGTTCAGAGATACGAGATAACACCGTTCATCATCAACTTCGTGCCGATTTAGTTGAGCATATTTGGACCCATTTTAGCCACTAAAAAGTTATTTTTTGTAATTGTATTATTTTTTTCTTGTATAATCTTAATTTAAGTTATTTTGGTATTGTAGTGTGCTTTTATTTTCATGTATTTAAAATTTATTATTATAATTTAAAACTATTAATTTTATATTTTTATTGAGAATAGAATATTAAAATTTATATTGAATGAATGGATATAATGGGTCCCATATTTGTATTTAAATGAATGTGTAGGGATGTAGGTGTGTGTTTAAATGGAGAGAGAATTAGTGTAAAGGTGATTTGGAAATGATTTGGAAGAGAGAGAGTGTACTTTTTTGATTGAATGAATGGGAAAAAAATTAACAAATGCGGATGCCCTTAGAAGCATCACCTGCTTTTATGGCCAAATTGATGTTATCGGCATCTGCATTCATGAATACAAGCCCATTTAAATGTCATTTGGTTCATTCAAACAAATGTGACATATTCATTCAAATAAAAATTATATGGGCCCCCACTTTTTGTTCAATCCATTGAATGACATTTAG